CTTTCTTGACATCCATGCATCCTTCGTCGTTCTCAATGTCTATGGGTTTCGTACCGCTCTCATCCGCAGAGCATCCTCCATCATAGTTGCGGCTGCCGGAGTCCGCAGAAGGTGACTCACTGAAGTCACTAACATTGTAGCTGCGAATGTTTGTGTCGCTCTTCTCCGTCTCTCGAAGCTTGTTGATCCTTTGCTCTCTCTTTCCTTTCTGACACTTGTTGTCTCGTTCAGCGTGCTCGTCGGAAGATTCGTCAGTGGAGTTACGTGGGTTCTCCAGGCTCTTCTCCAGGCCCTTCCCCAAACTGATCTCCAGCTCCTCGCACGAACCCATGATCTTGGTATTCAACTGCAGCTCATTGAGAATATCCCTCGTCACCTTAGTGTCTCTGCCCTCCTCGTGTTGCTTTCTGGCTTCCTAGCGGCTATCGTTGCTTGACGAGTACTTCGCTCCGTTCTCAGCAGCCTTTCCAATCCGAATCTGTGTGCAACTCGTGATGCTTTTGAAAGGTGCCACTCCAATAGCCAAGGCGTGGACACTTGGGAGGTATTGTAGTTAAAGAGGAGAGAAAGTTAGTAACAGAGCGATAGATGCGAGGAATATCTATACACTAATGATTCTAGCTAGATACATCGAAGGTCTTTGCTACACAGTAAGAAATGCAGTTGATCACATTAAGCTAGATAGACTTAAATGTTGAAGTTGCAGAGGATGCTACTCAGACATGCATCTTTGACCATGTTAGTACTTGACGCTATCCTTGGTCCCTCTCTTGCTGAAGCAAGCCTCTAACTCGAGCTCCGTTTCTAAGGTGAAGATTCATGATTGTTGTCGTTCTACCATCCTGTTCACTCCCCACTTGACCCTATCATGCTGTACCGGATCCTAGTGAGTCTCAGGACGACAATCGCAATCGTGGTCTTGGCGACGTAGACCCAATAGTCTCGGGTATGATTTTCAAATCGGAAGAAAACTGGATGTCGTAACCTCAGAGAAGACTGGGGTACTGCCAGTTCGGGAGACTGGCGACTGGCGAAGCAAGCGGTTGTGTACGACCTTCTTGTCTGCGATATATGCTTGAGGAATTCCTTTCCCAAAACCTTCCCCGATCTCCAGTGACTCTGATTATATCCTGATACTTGTTCCATTCTTTAGGATTCCATGTAGATAACAGCGGTGATCTGTTACTCTTTGTTCGTCAATAGCTACGATCTAAAACCCTTCTCTTACGCTCTTCTACCTCTTATATCATGGATTTGAAACCGAGCAACGTCGCACCGACAGTGAATGAGATTTCAGATAGGTACGGTAGCAGGTGTTGTGGGTAAGGCACCTAGATTGGGCTATGGCACATTAGTGTTGTTTCCATTGGCCTTCGGCATCTGTGGGTTGCGAGTCTGCCACCCGGGTACGCGTATGAAATGATGGACAAAGAAATTAGGCGAAGCCGAGTCTCGATTCTACCGGCATACTCGTCCATTCATTTAGGTTCTTAAGGATGCCTTGTTGAGCCATCTGGAAACGTCGGAGTGTCAAGGCGAGAGCTTCCTGTAGGCAAATTGGCAACTCACTGATCACATTAGAAGAGTCTTCATCATTGTAAACTGTAGAATTCAGAGATATCTGGCCTAGTGTATGTGGCTAATCTCTGTGATGTCTATCTCTGTGCCATGAAGAATCAATTGCTGTGAAATTATGCTCTGCTGGAATCTCGTCCTCCGGTGGTCATGGGATGTCCCTCCCCTGTGATTACTTTGTGGCCAGTTCATTGGCTCTCCATCTGATGCTGAAAATGCTGCAAAAATGCCGCCCATGAGAAAAATTGCGCAGCTGTTGTGTGTGAGATTCTGATGATCGTAAGAATGCTGAGGATAAGAATAGACCGTCGAAAAGTGCCGACTGGTTGACAGAAATGAGACGATGTAGTAGATGGTTGGCTTATCTCTTCGCCGCTGTGATGGTCATGATCTGGAAGGACTCAACCATATCCATCCATTCCACCATCATCTTCTTCCCAATAGGATGGATCCATTTCAAGCTCTCGATCTGCCGCTCGGTGGACAGCTGAGGCATCCTCCGGATGAACCTGACCAGCTTCAGATCCTTCTCGTCGAAAGCAGAGACGCAGCCGCCAGCATGATGTCTCGACCTCTTTGTCTTGCTGAAGAAGCTCTCCTGATCGCTTTCCAAATCCTCAAACTCGTCTCTGCGTCGCTTTTTCGCACCATCGCTCTTTTGCCTCTGGTCAGCGTTCTGGTGGGCTGGGCTAGCTGTAGCTGTCCTTTGGATTTCAACCTCTGATGAGTTATCGCTCTCCGCCTCGGAAATGGCGTCACTCTTGGACTCGCCCTCTTCTCCGTTCTCCTCAGGCTCGCTCTTCTCCTCAGACTCGCTGTCATCCTCGGGCTCGCTCTTCTCCTCGGAGTCGCTCTTCTCCTCGGGCTCGCTCTTCTCCTCAGAGTCGCTCTTCTCTTCAGGCTCGCTATCATCCTCAGAGTCGCTGTCATCCTCGGGCTCGCTCTTCTCCTCAGAGTCGCTCTTCTCCTCAGGCCCGCTGTCATCCTCAGGCTTGCTGTTATCCTTAGGCTTATCTGAAGATGTATTATCCGAGTTGCGTATTCTCTCCAGTCTCTTCTCCAGCGTTTTGATCAGGCCGTCGTGAAGGACTAAGAGCCTGTAATTGTTTCCAAGCGAGTCGACGTCTAGTTCGATGTCCTCTTTGATGCTCTCGTGAGCATCATAGACCTCTTTGAGACGTGTTTCGACAATTTGACGGCGCTCTTCGATACTGGCCATGTTTGCGTCGGCAGTAGACATCGTTGGGTCTTGTTCTTGGTAGTTCTGAATACCCCGATTCTTGATATTCTCAAGTTCGTTCTTGTTCGTCCGTGTTCTTGCTCAGTTGGCGCGTAAGCTGGTTGTTCTCAACTTTCCCCAACCAGTCTCGTAGACCTTTGATGCTCAAGGGCGTACGCTGTTGAAAGGCGTGATGCCTTCAAAATTTGTACCGATCGTTGACGAACGTTGCGGGATGAATAGAAGAGAAAGTTATTTCACGACGCAGCCGCTGAAACAGCGGATTTTATACCTGTAAAAACGGTAGTTCGGCGTTTAGTTTGTTTTCGTAGAGGGAAAGAGCAAGCAGCAAGGCAAGGAAAGTACGGTTTTCAAGCCAGCTTAGGCATGAGCGAAGGAAATGGCATCGATGGCATCGTGAGAAAGGTGAGGTTGATCCTGCCTTGACACTTGTACCTGATGATGTAGTGTGATATATATCTTTCTTAGACTGACAATTAGCCCTTTAACACAGTTTTCCTATATTTGTTCAACTAGACTAAGCTGATCACGCGCCCTGAATCGACGATCCCGAACGGGATCTCCCCCATCTCATGGGCCGAAAAGACAACCGGTCGTCAATGAGCTTCGCAAGGTAAAGTTAGCAACGAAACGGCCCACTCGACTTGTTAACCGCCAAATAAACGAGGGTCCCAGCTTTCTCGTCTAGTCAGACACGAACTCAGTCTCATAGCGAGATACGAGACGATGTATTGCTGCTGGTGTTCCTGTTGCTCGTTTCCCTCAGCGCATGTCCTCGCAATTGGTCTCCGGGTACTAGCCAAAGGGAGTTCAGGCCTCACGCAGCCGTTCCAAATGTCCGAGACGGACCAAGTGACGGCCCGAGGCCCCGTTGTTCCGGGTTTTGAGGGTGTCGGTGACGGCGTGGTGCTGTGGGGCGGCAGCACCGAGATAGGGGCCCGCCGGCCCAGGCACCGGTGGCGGTGGTTGTCGGGAAGGAGAGGAAGAAGTAGTCGCTTATGTAGTTCTGTACTGTTGAGTACGGGGGTGACGGTCTCATCGATCTCATGTTTTTGTGGCGCTTGCTTAGGCATGGGATTGAAGGCTGTGACTGGCGATCACGGCTCACTCCTGGGAGAATGTGTCATCATCATCGAAATTTTATGCGCGGGTTATCCGAACTTATTGCATAGTCTCTATTAGCTCGTCCTTGGTGTTCTGGAACAACATGTTGCTTGGAATTGCCTTGTGTAAACGAGGACACCGTCAAGTGGAGGGGCGGCGGTGCACGACGGACGGCGATGACGACGACGACGACGACGACGACGACAACAACGACAACAACAATAGCGAAAGCGATAGACCAACGGGCAATAAAGACAGCAACAACAAGAGACATTCAAGACAACAGCGACGACGACGGCAGGAACGGCGGCAGAGAAAGGACGAGAATGAAGAAACAAACAAGAACGTCAAATATCGGGAATGATCCTCAAAACATCGCCGCCAACCTCAATCTCGATCTCAGACGATCTCAAACAGTGAGCATGCCAGTTCCTTCCGGCGATGTATATCTAGATGTTCTCGCGCAATCAATCCTTGACCCATAAACACACTTGCTGTCTGTTCTAGAGACATCACGAGCACCATCAAGCACCGTGAATCTCAATGATGATCATCGGTCGCTTGTCGGGCCAAACCTTGATGATCACATCAACAAGGTAGCCAATTCGATTCGCTGTCTCTCCTGAAATCCACTGAGTTCGAAGCGTATAGAATTGTGTCGCGTCGGCGCCTGGCCAAAGAGGTTTTGTGTGCGGTCAATCTCTGACTTCGGTCAAGCCACGATCTGTTCAGCCACGCCACCTCTTCTTCCCTTGGCCAAGCGCCATCACGGTGAGCTCGGTGAAGAAGGCGGCTGTCAAATATCGAATCTTCCTCTCAAGGTATGCCTAATTGCAATAACCATTCGTGCCCGTCACCTGGCTCATCCAATATTCTTCTTAAGCCATTTCTCCATAGACCTCAATGGAACAGCCTGTTTGCAAGGTGCCAGAGACAATCAGTGGACGTAAAAACATGCTCGAGCCAATGGTGTGACCGCTCTTGAGCCATACCCTGTCAGGAATGTGGAAAGTTTAGGTAACACGACCGGAACATGGCCGAGCCCCAAGACAGCCGCATGAGCATAAACCACTTTGATTGGATGTTTCCAGGACTCATTTCCTTTTGTTCCCACTCGGTGGAAAGACCCTCCGGGTCTTGGCTGAGTCAGTTCGTCCCAAATTCTGCCACACGAGTGATCTGTCCCCCGCGACACCGCCCACCACAACTCTATATAACCCGCGTCTGTCTCTTCGTCTTCCTCTTCTTTTTCTTTTCTTCTCTAGCTCTCTTTGTAAGTCTTTGAAGCCAATGCCTCCTCGAATAACACGATTTGCTAACAACTTCTTCACAGGCCTTTTGGCTTAGATCAAGTGTAGTATCTGTTCTTTTCAGTTTAATCTCTGAAAGGTCTCTAAGGAGACCAATCGTGATTATTCTTATTTTTGGCTTTAGGGAAGAGTCCTCTGTGCTTGCACACGACTCATCCCACAGTGTCCCTGGTATTACACTGCCTCCAGGCGACGCGAACCTCTTTTTTCATTGTATGCCCTGGCTTGTTCAGGGGTATGAAGAAGAAACTGCTTTCCCAGATGTACTCAGCTGTTAGCAGCTGTGGCGCACAGGCCATGCTCGAATTCACTAGACATCAGTGCGACCAAACATCGAGAGCCCAGCGGGGACCTTTCCCCATGTACATACTACAACACGCCTGTCAGCTTGGTAAATAGAACGTTTTGTTTATGTTCAACCTATGATCGTAATGAGAAAGATAGATGGATAACTAAGTGACCCTTGTTTCGCTCCCAGTCTGCACCGAGATGTAAGATGATGAAAGCTGGCCATGCGATGCCGGCCGGCGCTTTAGGATACCTTGCCAAATTCGGTAACCTTGCTGGAGAAGGCATCTTCTCTTCTCACCTGGTGAGATGACATGTGCGGTGCTAGCTAGGCACTGATATGGAAATGGGGACTTGGCTAGATAAGTCCGGCCATGATGGAACTTGAATCTGAGAAAGCTGGACGTTCATCATTCAACTTGCGGGCAACTTGCGACTGATAATCTTCGAGTCGACGACTAGCCTTGAACAATTAAAAAGCCAGAGAAACGCCTGCCAAATTGCCATGGTTAGTGTCTCTGTCCCCGTGCATATTTTCGAGTGCCACCACTCAACTTGCGCAGGGTCCCCACGGCATCTACAGAAGCCTCTTTCGCCAGGCGGAAGACCTTTCGGTCTATCTTGACACTGCTTGGGAGGTGGTCCCCGGCGTGGTGTTCCTGCCATTGCTCCTTCTCGGCGAGATCATGATCATCATTGGCGTCTTGATCATTTTGCCGACGAATCAAGTCACGAAGAGCATCTACTCAGCATCCTTCTTTGTCCTTTGCATATTGTCAAAAGCCGTCAGCATTTTTACTCGATTCCTTCTGCTACTGGGACACGAGTTGACACAAATGGTGCATTCCATGGGGTCGACACCCATGGTGGCATCTCGACCAAGGTTCCGATACGCCCTGCCGCCGCCGTTTGTCCCATTCCGGCTGTCCGTCCGGCGAATGCCGTTACGAGGCTCAGGGCGTGAGATGGACGTGGAGTCAGTGCGCGGGCATCAGACCGGCCGCATGCAGAAGAAAGAAGTCGTACTGCATCGAGGCGGGAAAGAGCAGAGAATCTGAGCATCGATTTACTATCGCAAGAGATGCGCAGAAGACTTTGTTTGCTGAAAACTCCCGACAACTGCAAGTAGGGCCAGACCCGCAACGCCGAAGGGTGCCGATCGTGGTTCGGTCGAAATGGGGTCGGCCCGGACCGGACGCCGTTCTTACGCCGACAATCTCCGGGGAATGCTCCTCGTTCTCGCTTAGGAGCTCAATCCAACCATCTCATTCCCACAGGACAGCGATCCATCCTGACCGTTCCAACGCATCACCGTTGCATCTTTAGCGTCCCAAATCCCACGCTCGCTTACACCCACGCAGCCCCCAATATCGTCGTCAAATTCGAAAATTATGCCCAATTCTCCAGTGATCGTGCCTTAGGTGATGATTACCATCTCATGGAGTCGTCATAGACTTTGCTGCTGCCTGGCTTGGCCGGTTCTGGGTGCGCTCTTTGCCATGTTGCATTAGACTTTCGCACCAGTCAGAGATCGAGTTCCCCGCGTACCCATGTCCGGTCTCCCTTCACTTGGCATAGCTGCTAAGAGGGGCAGTGCCCGTCTTCCCGTCAGACACTCTAATTGCACTGCGAATCCTACGAATAGCCTTTCCCCAGCTGCCCTTTCCCAACGGCCTTCTTCTTTTCCTTATCGTAGACAAAGTTTATATCTGGAACATGGGGTTTAATTCTGCCCAGATGACGCTTTCTCTGCCCGTTTGATGTTACGCGGAAACGTTGATGTGAGGGGGGAAGTTTAGGCAACAGCAAATTGACGGAGAAATTCATCACAACAGCCGCTGCGAGTTCATCTCATTCTCATTGCCAGATTATTTGATCTGTCAGTTTTTCCTCTGGTTGCATGTGGGTTAGATAAGGGACCGTTGTCTCCCGCACTTCCTCTTCAGGAAACATACGAGAGATCCATCGATGAACTCTGGTTTGCCCACCCCCGTCTCACAACCAACGAGACGAAACCGCAACCGGGTCACTGGGACACCGCCGGCTTGCAAGCCTATTCTCACACCAGATTCTCAGCCCTACGATCAGACCAATCAGCCCTATGACGATCCGTCCGGGCCCGGAAGTGCTCACCTTCGCGCTCGAGGACTGGCCGCGCAAGGACGGGCCCAGCACCCGGGCGAGCAAGCCCAAGGTGCGGACTGGGTGTGTTACTTGCAAGTATGTAGTCATGCTTCACACTGAGACATGTTCTTGTCAATGTTGACGTTTTTGGCAGACGCCGCAGGGTAAAATGTGACGAAGCGAAGCCGACATGCCACAACTGCATCAAGCGCAAGGTCCCATGTGAGGGCTATATCACGGAGCCGCGGGCACCGAAGACACCCCCGAAGCAGGCGGCGCGGTCTCCGAGAGGCAGCGTGGTGGCCATCTCGCCGCGGGTGGTCGAGCCGAGCTACGAGGGCCTCGTGTTCACCAGCCAGCTGCAGAGGGACCACTTTGACCACTGGCTGTGGTTCGCGGGCGACACGCTGGTGTTCCCGTCGGAGCTGATCACCGAGACGATACCGCAGCTTGCGCGGTCCGACGCCGGCGTAAGGAACGCGGCGTTTGCGATTGGCGCTGCGTCGTTGGGGAGTTTCACGAGAGAGCAGCGGCTTAAGGGCAAGGGGCCGTATTATCCTGATGCGCTGAGGTACTATAACCGCGCGTTGCAGCACACCGCGGCGTCGACGACGACGGAAGAGTCGTTCCCGAAGGTGCTCATGACGTGTCTTCTGTTCTTCATGTTTGAGGCGTTGCAAGGGGACAGGAAGGCGGCGCTGATTCACTTAAATCACGGATGTCACATTCTTGATCAGTATGAGAGGCGGGTCGGGCGGAAGAGGACGCCGCTGCTTGAGGCGATAGTTGCGAACTTTCAGCGCCTTACGATGCAGTCGTGGAGTCATGGCGGAGACCATCCCGAGGAGACTGAAGCACATGTGCCATGGTGTTGTCGAGGGAGGATGAAGCGGTATGCTGTGGACGAGATGCCGGAGGTGTTTGATACCCTCGACGAGGCACATCGCTGGTGGGAGATTACGCAGCACCATGTCGTACACCACGCACCACTATTGATTGGATTTAGGGTCGAAGGGACGGGGAACAAGTCGCCGGCAGCGTATCCCTCGACACAGAGCTTGCCGATATCTGCTGAGAAGGTCAAGGAGCACATGAAGTTCATTGAGCGTTGGCGAGCGAGGTTCTTGCCCCTGGTGGAGGCGACGGGAAAGCATGCCAAAGACGAAGAAGATCGGGAGCGGCTGAAGGCCCTCGGTCTGAGGATACATTCTACGTATCTGTCCGTACCAACAAAAACAGCAAATTACACGGACTGGGAAGCACTCGTATCGTTGACGCCCGCATTCAGGGAGGTCGTCATGCTCAGCGAGAAGTTTCTCACAATTCAACAGCGGCACGCGAAGATGGGCGAGGTATTCACGATGAACAGCATCAGTCCCACGTGGCCCCTCGGCGCGGCTGCCATCCTTTGCGCCGACGACAACGTGAAGGCAGACGCGATGAGGCTGCTGCGCAGGTTCCCTCGCCGGGACGGGCTTTGGGATACGTGCACGTATGTCACGATGCTGGAGGGCGTCCAGCGGGCGAAGGAGACTCTTCGGAACCGTGTTGGGGAGAAGAGCGAGGGGGATCACGTGTTCAGCTACGAGGTTGTGTACGATGAGAAGTCCATCTCGTGGGTCAAGGCCGTGGAGGATCCGGCGGTCGTCGGACGGGATGCGTTGGAGTACAAGATCGAGATGCCGTGATGTTGGTTTTGCTAGTCGGGCAGTGTCCACCGTACGCGTGTAATCTGTATATCGCCTCTAATCGCCTGTACTATTATAGTCTACTATCGTCGTCGCTGTTATTGCTGTCGTTGCTATCGTCGTCGTCTACTTTCAACGTCTATCGTCGTCGTTATTACTATCGCTATGTCATTTTCTCTTCTACTATCATTCTTTTAGAAGCGTCAAATACGCTACTAGAGGTACAGGGGACACTGTCCGGATAGCTGAATCACACTGCCTGGCGAGCAAAGCGCTTTTGGAAAGACCGAGGCATCGAGTGGATGATTGTCGAGACCTTGGAGTCTGCTGGCTCGGGTAAGAGGATGGCATTGTATGGTTAGGCGCATGGGAGGAAGGCCTGGCAGATGATAGTTTCCGCACTTAACATTGTCTCCATGTCATGCAAGTCACAGTTTCCGCCAGAACTACAAGGTACGAGCTAAGTAGGAAGAGCGATGGCAGACAGGCAGGAATTACGAGAAGGCAATGTCGAGGAAGCAGGGCAACAAGTACAGAAACAGCGGAGGCCTCAAAACTTTGTCATGGAAGGAGTGAGGCTCAAGACAACCGAGAGCGACGGCGGATGGAAGCAGTCAAAAGAGTAGCGGGAAGGAGTGAGCATGGATAAACCAGACGCCAAGCGCAACAACACGAAGTGCCTGCTGATACGGGAAGGCGGGAAGAACATCAACAGGAAGCAACAACGAGGGATGACAGAAGGCACGACACCAGGAAATAGCAGTGAGGGAACGACCATAAATAACGCGGACCTGACGACGTCCGTCTCCTGGAACCTCGTCCCAACATCATCACCATTCTCAGCACCGCCAGCTTCTATCAGCATTCAACCAGACACAACCACACCACATCATCAACTCTTCTCTTCTGGATTACTACATTTACCACCCATCCCACATCAGTCATGGCAGACAATCAAGACACGGTTGCGGCAAGCAAGCAAGACGCAGCTGCGGCAAGCAAGCAAGATGCGGCTACGACAAGCAATCAAGACGTGGCTGCGACAAGCAATCAAGACCACAATCAACCTACTACTGCAACGACTGCAACATCTACAACGGCTGGAACATCTACAACGGCTGCAACACCAGTTACGCCTGTCACGCCTGTTGAGCCTGCCAGGCCTGTTGAGCCTGTCAAGCCTATTGAGCCTGTCGAGCCTGATAGGCCTCCATCGCCTGCGACATCTGCAACGGCTGTATCAAGAGCCCCGAATTCCAAGTGGTACAACATAGATATCCCATGGAACATCAAGTTTTGGCTTGATTGTCACTGTTGGAGCGTCCGGGCGAGAATAACGTCGCCGGCGAACTTCCTACAGAAGTTCGAAGACGGCGGTGTGAGGTTTCGAATGAATTGCATCGAGGCAAACGATAATCTGCGTCGCATAGTCGTCAGAAAATACTACCCACAGTGTGACGACCCGAAACATCCGACGATCGAAGACCTGAAGATTGCTTTGGTACGGGTGTGCCAGAAGAAGAGCGAGAACATCGAAGATTTGTACAATAAGTTCGACGGTCACTGGTATTGGTCCACGGAAGGCAACCCAGACATGGATGACGAAAGGATTACAGGCGTATGGCTGCATGGCTCATACGTCTTGAACCCCAATCCTCCATCAATCCTGAAAGTGACGGCGCCTCCTGTCAATGAGTCCGAGGTCTAGCGATACGACCGCAACGGCAACCTCTACCACCAGCGAAGATGTCTGCGGTCACAACAAAGTTGTTAGCCTATCGTCGAATGTCGAGAGCACGCGGAGTGCTTTCGGATGCGTTGTTGGGAACACACGCAGAAACGGATGGTTGCTCTTAATGCTCCCAGCCTCTGATATGGGCTGCCCCATCAGCGAGGATGCGACATGAAACCAATTTCCTGGTGAGTACAATACGGGAACCTTGACATCAACACTCTGAGCTAACCCTTTGGCGCAGAGCAAGTGGTCTCCCAGGCATGGCCAAGGGGCCATTGCGAAGGTTGGTCGTCGTGGTGTAACATGGAAGTACGGATTATCTCTAGATCAGGACTTGTCAGACAGTGAATACAACAGCGTGTCATGCAAGCTTGCCCTGGTGATTCAAAGTTTGTGATGTCAACTGCCACCGACGATCGGAAATCTTAGCCAGGGGACGCCCATCATTTCCCCCGCTGTCCTGGTCCCCGAATCACGTCTGGGTCATATCTCGCTTTGTGGCAGTCGACGGTCTCGTCAGGCAACGGGGAGTCTCCCGGCAGTAAGCATACGCGCCCTCGACAGGGCTTCACCTAAGCTTCCACGCAATCCATGCTATCCGAACCCCGTACCATCGCGACATGCTTAAAAGAAAACAACACCCAAGGTCGACTTAGACGAATGGGCCCTCGACCGCGCCAAGCCACGGGGCAGAAACATCAGCAGAGGACCCGATGAGGTCCACATCGACGGTAACGGTAGCGACAGCCGGCCCCAGCCATGCGGGCTGAGCTTGATCTTACGCGGCTCTCCGGAGGTGGTCCCGTCGGAGAAGGCTCCCCCTCAAGCCCGAGAAGAGGGACGCCCAATCTTCCTGTGTCTAGGTAACTATGTTTATTGTGTATTTGGTGACTTCGATGAGGATGATGATGGACGACGATGGACTACGGGAACAGTAACGACAGCAATAACGATAACAGCAACGATAGCAGCGACGACGGTAAGGCAGAGCATAGCAACAGGTAAAGCAGTTGTTCTAGCGCAGGGAAAACAGGCGGTGTCCGAGAAGAGGAAGCTCGGCCCCGAGGGGTGTTGGACTAGCGGCGTTTACTCATGGGTCGTCTGGATCTATACCACGCCGTCACTTTTGCTCAGGAATATGCCAGAATCGCGCGATACAGGAACAACACGAACTCTCTCACCAGCCAGTCTACGAAGCATCGTGGGATAGAGATGCGATGGTGGGAGGAAACCCCGTTGATCGGCTCAGCCCTGCGGACGACGACGCAAGCAAACGTCGTCAGCCAGGGTGACATTTTGTTGTTGTGAGTGTCCCGTTTTGGAGGTGGTCCGTACCGAGCTCCGGGCGGGGGCCGTTTTGGGCTCCGGGTGGAGTGAGATTCTTGTTTTTGGTGGGGGACACTGTACGGGGGTTCTAGGCTGATCTAAGATTGGACTTTTTCATTGTTGTTTGATGCTGCGCGTGCGGAATGCGAATGTCAGGTCTTCGGGATGTTGTGCACTGCAAAGGGGGGCTCCACGCGCAGCGCGACGGTCCCCTACGGAACCCTGTCTTGACTCTTCTTTTTGCCTTTTGAGCAAGAAAATCTCAGAAAGGGGTGGTGGCCGGCCCACGCACCCTGGCCGATGGATGGAAAAGGGTCGTGTTTTCTGGGGAGGGAAGGGTGGGCTGTGGGTATCAATTCCAGAATTAAATGCGGCGCTGGGCGACGAAGGGGGGCGGGCAGGCACAAGATGCGGGAGGGCTCCGAGAGCCTCATTTTACGATTGATGAGGGATATACTCGTTCGTGTATTTCTGATTCTACGACGATGCAGTCGGGGTTGGTCAGGTTGTGGTAGTTGGACTTGGACGGATGAGCGGCGTGAGACGGCATCTTTGGGGCCGGGTTTTTGATGAGGTCAGCGCGGAAGGACGGGAGAGGGGGCGGAGGCGAGAGAGAGGGACAGCCAAGGCCGTTGGCATCGACGCTAGAAGGACCCGACGACGGGCGAGGAAGGACGGTGTTGGAGGCTAAGCGTGCTGCGTAGTCAGCGGCGGCATCCAGTGAACCGGTTCGAACGCGCACGTTGGTGAATGGCGACATCTGAACGGGCTGCGTGCTGCCGGAAGGCGATTTTGTCCTGCTGGAGGGGTGGTGGTGGGTGGCTGTGCACCTTGATGTGGTTTTTAGTGGTGTCCTTCTGCGTTGTCAAGATATTGCCTGCCCGTTGGTGGTAATAAACGGCGGACGACGGGCAAGTGGGAGGAGGATGGGAACCGAAAGCGGGTTTGTGTGACATGGGATGTGTGGGACGGGGCGCGCGACTGGGGAAAGGGAGGCGCCGCGAGGTGGGTGGCTATTTTTATACACATCTTTTTGTTTGGTCCTCTAGGTAGGTATTCTTTTCGGAACGATGCGATGAGTCGTTTTTGGGGCGTTGGACAAAAGAAGAGAAGCAGAGAATTAAACGCAGAAACCTTGTGTCCGGTTGTGGTAAGTGGTGCAAGTTTGGTTGACTGGGGGGCGTTGCGTATACGGTTTTTTTCCTTTGTTGCACCAAATCGCCGTCGTCTTGCAGGCCGTAAAAAAGATAATCAACAATTCGCCCCTGCAAGAGCTGCATACACACACACGTATTCGGGGGCCCGGGAGTTTGGGATGGCGCTTGGTGGAAATGGGAAATGGAAGGCCGAGACCGGCTTGCACATTGTCAAACCTCGGATTCGGCGCGGGTGGTTGAGGGACGCCGTCTATGTTTTTGGAAGGCCGAGCAGGTAGGTAACAGCGTCGGGGAGACTAAAGCAGAGCAGGCGGTTCGTTGTTTGGAGGCCGAGGAAAAACCAAGGAAGAGGATTTCTTTTGGCGAAAAGTAAGGCCGAGATCGATGGACGATGGCCGGGAAACCGTCCGGGAGACGGGGAAACAGGGAAACGGGGGGATCTCGGCCGCGCTGGTGAAGTTGTTGCTGGTGATCAGACTTTTGTCGCCAATGATGTGTGCTGGGATCACGTAAAAAGTGCTCTGAATGTTGTGTCGATGTGCGGGAAGAAGAAAGCAGTGATGGGTTGGTTTGGTTTGGTTGCTGGGGGATGATCACGTCACTGCGTCCGATTCTGCCGACATGCTCACCCCCTCCTTCCTCGCTTTCTTTTTCTGGGATCTACGCAAGATGACTTTGAACGGGTGTTTGAACGGATGGGATGTGCGGAAGCCGTGGATTGCATGTGCGCATATTGGACGAAGCGGGAAGGAAGTTTCGGGCTCTTTTTTTCTGGGCGCGAACAGGTTCCTGGGTCTGGTTTCCCGTCGTCGGATGTTTCTTGTTATGCGGTCTTTTTTTGGCTGAACTGGGAAGGATGCTGGCTGCATGAGCGGGAGGCAGGCAGAGGAAACATTGGACTGAAAGTCAATTGGAAGCCAAACGACAGCCGGTTAGCAAAGGTCAGGCTGGACGCTCTTTGCGTATGCGATAAATGTGAAATGCATGTCAGAGTTGAAAGAGAAAGTCAGAGAGTGAGTCTCAGTCAGATTGAAGCCACGATCAGCTGAGCTAGGTTGTTGTTCTGTTCAGCTGCTGGGGCCTGTTCGCCTTGCCCTTTGCCTCGGCTGAATTGATACCTACTTCCATGATTGAAATGAAGCCTGCCTGGGGTATAGCAGAGAGGGCTTAGGTAAGGCTGCCGTGATTCAGAGGGAGAAGGAACGACCTCAGCCGCCCCGGATGGGGTAATTTGGGTGCAACAAGGCATGTCTTTCCTTGAGTGAAGTCGTTGCGATGGTCTGACGGCCAATCAAGTGTTGCACGGGGTTTCTGCGCTCGTTGGGCTGAGTCTTGTTTCTCTGCCCCATGCAACTTGTTTTATTATATTTCTTTCCCTCATTTGATGGGAGTGATTCAGGCAGGCGCCAACGGCTTGGGTCGGATGAGCTAACGGTAGACAAGGCAGGGGACATTTAGAGGTACCTGAGCATAACGCTGCATTTAGGTGATGCAAGGTTTCACCTACAATGTCCCATTGCCAATGGCAACTGAGCCGATTAAAAAAAGAAAAAGCAAAGCTATACTGGGTGACAGCAGAGGAGTTTGGGATTCATTGGTTGCTAAGAAGTTGCCGGGCAATAGCAATCAATGTTGAGTTTGTTGAAGGACGAGAAAATAGACTCTGCTGCTGCCGCCGCCACGGCCGTGACGCAAAGCACGAGGGGGGTCTAGCCTGCGGACTGCCGGCATAGCACGACGACGATACGACCCAAGGTCTTCGTACCGCGTGGACAGCGGCAGGACCCCGTGGACCCGGTTTCTCGGGGTCGGGACTTGTGCTGCTGCTGCTGCTGTAACCCAGCGTTGCACTCGCTGAATTCTGAAAAAAAGTCTGGAAGCTCGCACGAGTCCGCGAGAAGAAGCCTAGTGTTCTGGACCAAACCCCGGTCGCGCGCGAGTTTCGTTCCCGCTTCATGATGCACACGAATAACACCCTGCCCTTTTGTCCTCTTTCTCTCTCTCGCGCAGACAACAGCAGCGGGCACATGACTTGAACACCCTGGTGGTGGTACACAGTGAAGCATCCACATGCCTCACCTGAAGACTTTTTGGGAGGGAGAGTGAGAGGGTGACCATTTTTTGCCATTGAGGGGTTGGCGTCTTTTTCTTTCGCGTACCTACCGCCGTACACGAGGGAGATCCAATGATTAGCGGAGTTGCTCACTTCGCGACCCGTGATGAAAGGGCTCGTAATGGATCTGAGGGAGGTTACTGATCTTGGCCGATCGCCGGTGCACCCAGGCTCCTTGGATGCTAAAGCTAAGGCTAACGCCCTCCTCTAACGGCTTGTCGGCTGCCCCCATGCAGGATGGATTATTCCCAGTGCCCCTAGAGCAGCATCTTTCGAGTGTCTCTCTCTGCTCTCGTAAGTCGCACCGCAAAGTAAGATTTGACGCTGGTCAAGCCTCAAACGTCCACGTCCTCCGACTGCCGATCCAAATCGGCCAT